GTTGAAGTGACGGTAGGAAACCCTTGGCCCAGGGGTTGACACACACACACACACCGACCGACACACACGTTTTTCCACGAACGCTCCTAGAAGGTCTCGGATTTCAGGGGCCCCAATGGCGCCTGGCGAGGCTCTCCATGCCTATGATCCTTTGGGCGCCACCCGTGCGACCTCGGCCTCTTCGGAGCAAGCCCTTCCTATGAAAGTGGCGACCTCAGAGAGTGGCAAAAGACGTCTTATTGACAGTGACAGGGGACAAAGGAAGAGCTGCTCACGCCCACAGACTCCTGCCAAATCCAGGTGCACGCACATGCTGTGCATTCCATGTCCAAACCCACAGTGGTTGAGCAGGCTCACTAGCATGGTGCTGTACGACCAGAAAACTCGTATCAAACGCCACATCACGTTGCTTGCACATAGTTGCACTGGCCAGGAGCATTGCCAAAGAAGATTTGCAATGATGGGCTGCTTTGTTTCACTTAGGGCCGAAGCAGCGGGTCAAGCGGTCAAAATTTGCTCTTTGCCTTGGGTTCGAAGTTGTGGTGGCATGCGCTGCATAACAGAAATCAACATCTCGAGCGAGTATAGAATCCAGGTGTCTTCAAATTTGAACTTCAGGTGGCCGATTCCGGCACTAGCTAGCGGCTGCCAGGCGGCACCAAAAGAAAGAGAAAGAAGAAACAAGTGCAGCAATCGCAGTTTTGCCCTCAGTCGCCCTAGCACAAAGAACATTTGAGACATACTGTTTCCCTTTGCCGTTGATGTGGGGAAGAAACTTCAGATGGATCCAATTGACACAGCTTGCAAAGTTTCAATGCTGGTGGTTGCACAGTTCAGATCCAGACAACATAATAAGGTGGACAGCGATGAGGAAGATTCCCAGGACGGTTGCAACGTGCTTGCTCCACAAAATGCCCCCATGTCACTTTAGTACTCGCATTGTGCATTTGCACAAATCTATCGATGCAGGAGGAGGAGGAAGAAGAGGAAGAGGAGAAGACTGAAGATGAAGAGGACGAGGAGGAGGAGGATCATGAAATTGAGTCTTTGCCGCAGTGTGGACAAGATTGCTTGCAGCAAGTGGCTGCAAATTGCAAGATTTCCCATGTCGTATTGAATACACTCCCATTGTTGGGCCTTGAATTGGCACCACGACTTAGAAGCTTAAACTTGTGCCACGTGCAGGGCTTGGTTTGAACGTTGGGATCCCATGGGATCCAGGCAGACCCCAGTGAGACATCAAACGTCTTTAGACCGTGCCGAGGGGTGTTGTTGCAGCCTTTAGGAAGAGGAAGTTGAAGTCCAGGATGAGGCAGCAGAGTCACCGGAGGAGGACCAGGAGGAGCTTCACCCAAGGTGTTTTGGGCGGTTTTGGGTAATGACATGTAGCCAGAACGGCGGTGTCAACTCAGAATGTACACTCAGGATGAGCACATTGAAGAAGCCATTGACATGGACAAAACGAGTCCCGCTTGCAAGAGTGCATATTTGCAGCCGTGTTCAATTGATACTTGCCGCTCGTTTAGCAGTCTGAGGAGAAATCCAGCCGACGTAGCTCCAAATGAGCTAAGAGCGACTCAGGCTGGCCCCGCCAGCGACTCGCTCCGTTCCATTCCGCGAACTTGAGTGTCGTTGAGGATTGGAGGTCCGCGGGTGCTTTCAATAACAAGCTCCCATGCTTTAGAAGTTAGTAATTGGCATTTTAGTTTCTTCTCCAATCCGGAGCCTCTAAAGCCTACCTACATCTACCTACACGGGGTTCTCAACCGAAGCTTCACGGCTGAGCCATGCTGAGGGTTCATTGTGGACTCAATCACCCAGTTCCCCTCAAATTCGGGGACGAAGATCAATGATGATCAATGTATATATATGCGTCCGCTAGCACCAGGTGCACATTCCAAACAAAGCCAGGCTTCAGGCGGCTGTCGCAGCCAGCCGACCTTCAGCGTTGCTCCACCTTTGGAGGAGACATCCAAAAGCACAAAAGACCGTCTTTTTGGTTCGACTGACTCCCTTCTGAGTGGTTTCTTTGACGGATGGAATTGGCTTGACACCTGGTTTGGATTATTTTGCCTTGGTTTATTTGATGGTATCTGGTTAGACTATGTTAGACTTAGAAATGGGATGAAATGGGTGTCTTGTCTCATGGAATCATGATGAATCATGTAGCCTTTTGCGATCTTGTTCCAGTCGGCCCTTGTCCGCTTCATGGCTTTGGCTTTTGCAATGCGATATCAGGAAAAATAAACTAATAGAACGACGACTAAGACTGTTGCCGCAAAGAAGCCTATACTATAAACTGACCTTTGGTCCGCAGGATGGCGAGGAATCACCACGTCAAACAGGCAGCTTAGACCGATCCGGCATCATTGCGGTGGTGCAAGCAGACGACCTGGCAGTTCCGATTCGAACGCAAACATCGTTCCGAATATATAGGCTCAATCATCGCCTCACAGATTCCGACAGAACGGTGGGGAGACTGATGTGTACCATCGGAGCTGCAGGTACTGCGAGAGTATCCTCCACTGGCTGGCAGGTGGCAGGCTGCTTTTGATTTCTTTGTCCCGAGCGCAGTGTAGCTGATTGTCGGCCCCACTCGTTGGCTCGAAGCAGAGGGGTCGAAGTATGTTGAGTTGCTTGACCATGCTTGACCGCTTCAGTTTGCAGGAGATGGTGTCCGACCACGTTCTATCTCCGAGGAGCAGGGCGCCGTGTTGGGTGCACAATTTGCTTGGACTTGGGCCCGCCCTCCTGATTAGTTAGTTGATGGTTCGCAGGACGTGGACTCGTATTTCCGATCAAGTTGCACAAGGACCCTTCACAGATTCAGCGCTGGAGACGAGAGTTGTTCCCTGGAGTTGGAACCTGTGCTGCAGAGGAGTGCAACGCTCAAGCGAGTGCAAGCATGAAGCGAGACAAATCAAACAGCGTATGATTTCAACCAGTTGTTTGCTCATGTTGGCACATCTGTCCTCGACCGCCAGTTGGTCTCCACACATGCACAGTCAGGATTATGTTAGGATCAATCCAAAATTTGGCCCAGATTCGGGAAACTCAAGGGCAAATGTGACATTGTGAAGCGGTTCTTCAGTTGAGAGTGTAAAATCCACCCCTTGTTCTTTGTTTCGGGTCAAGCATGGGGGCGAGTTGATCAGGTATAGTGTCTATAGACTTGCCATTGCTAGGACAACTTTCAGGTCATCTCGAAGTGAAGGCCGGACTTGCCCGTTCCAGCCGGTACGGCCTCAGAAAGCCAGGTTTGTCGCTCAATGATGTTCTATGAAGATTGGTTCCGAGAAGTCGACCGTGTCAAACTTACTGGCACATGGACATGCTATATATGCTATGGGATAGTGAGACAAGTATATACTCAGGTGATCTCAGGTGATAGGGGTCCCTTTCTCGGAAGCAATTGGCATGTGGCATGAGACTGTGCACCGACACCGACAGTGCAAGGCCTCACTGCCGACAGCACTGGCAGTTGGGTGCGCAGGACCTCGGCGCCTGGCCAACTCAACAGCCAACAAAAATGCAAGGCCACTGTGAACAGAACAGGGCGAGAGAGAGATCGAGAGAGGGGGAGAGAAACAGCAAAGCGGGAACTGGGAACATCTAAGAAGGACTGTGACAGTCATAGCCTCATAGCAATACAAGATGCGTGGACGCATGGCTTTTTTCGATGGTGTTTGGCACTTCGAAGGACGACACTGGCCGCTATGTCAGGCGCTTTGCACACAAGGCGTGTTTGACGTTCCTGCATCAATAAGCCTGTAATATGCTGCATGTTGTCACATCATTGGAGTCATCCTTATAGGCTTATAGGCGAAAGGCTCCGTTCGTCAGGCCGGATCAGGCACAGGTGATGGACTTTCACGCGCCGCCGCGGGAAGTGAAGTCAAGAGAAGCAAAGCAGGCAGCTTGAGCCTCAGGCATTCTGAAAGGCCTTTCAGAGAGGCCTGACAGTACTGACACCAATCAGAAACTTAGAGAAGAGGTGGCGATTGGTCATAACAATTCTTGACTCTTGAGACGCCTATCACAGTGTCACAAGGTTCTCCTGCCACAAGATTCATAAGCAGAACCGTCCGGACGGGAATAGCATGATTCAAACCAAGTCCTGATCCAAGGTCTTAGCCACTGCGGCTTATCCTTCCACCGACGGCGCACTTTGGCAAGTTCCAATCAATTGTCTAAAGGATCCGCTGTTGTTTGTTGTTTGAATAATTCTAAATCGACTTTTTTTTTGCAATCGTACCTCCCAAACACAAATCAGACTAGACATGACATGACTATATAGACCGGTTGTTTCTTAAAAAGCGATGTTTGATTCGTTGAAATGGACTTTGCTGAGGATGTCCTTCAGCCTGGTGCACCGGATTCGCCTGGCTCATCCGTCCGCTTGGCGTTCAGAGGCGGGAGAACGTGAGGTTACCGGTCTTTTTCGGCTTTGAGTTTTTGAGTAACTTTTCTTGAGCTTTTTCAATCAGATTCTTTCAGCCAACTTGTTCCGTGCAAGCTTGTAGTGACAAGAAGCTACTAGGGGCTCCTGGCATGGCTACTAGCAACAAGAAGCTAGTAGGTTGATTAGGTTGGAGACAAGCGGACCACCGCTCCAGGCGCACATCGGCTCCAGGGAGGCCGTCGCTGTGTCACGCTCTACGAGTCCGGACGTGAACGGGAGGTGGCGGTGAGATCTCAGAGTTTGGGCAGTGCACCACGTGACTCGGCAACAAGGGGCAAAATAGGCAAAGGAAACCACAGATAGAAGAAGCCAGAAGAAGTTTAATAACAGTGGCTCTTTGTTGTACGAGTTTTCCTTAGCTTTCTATTTTACATGGTTCTTGATTGAGCTTTGTTTGCTCACTGATGTTGTATAATGTTATTAAAACATCATTGTATTTTTTCGTTTCACTCCAATATGCCGGAATGTTGTGCTGTTTCTTCCGGCTCGGTACTTTGGGGCCTTCGTGGGTGCGTCCGACAGAGAATCTGAAAACGGACGTGAGCGCAGAAAAAGCCTTTGCACAATTGTCACGCTCTATGACTATGTGTGTGCGTTGTTCGGAGGCTTTGGACAAATGACATATATATATATAAACCCAAACCAACATTGGTTTTTGCGCACACTGCAGTTAATATCGCTCGCTGAGTCACTGAGCAAGCCATGTTGAACCTTCAGTAACAACTCCTTAACCAACTGCAGTAGGTTGTTGATAAAAACTGTTGATACCACCAGTTGAACCTTGTTTGCTATATTTCCGTGCCTCAGGTGATACATCCAGAGTGCTGGGCTTGAACAATGAAGCAATCTCCTTGACAATCCGACCGCAAACCACAGACTCGCCGAGGGGTTCACTGCAGGTCTCACAAGGAAGCTTGGTTCTTCATGCGGTGTGGGAGAGCTTGTTAAGGAATTGTCGGTTGCCTTGGCACTTCAATACTGTTTCTTGCAACTAGAAATCACAACCCTGTGTGCTAGTTTTGATCTTGAAACTTTTGCAACCCCAAGGAAGAGATGGATGCTAAATGTTTAGCACCGATTGAGCACCGGGGTTGGTGTGGGTACGTTCAGCAACAATGCAACACGAGCTTGGCACGATCTGGCTATGGATTCAGCTTTAGTGAGTTGCTCATGGTGTTTAACTTTGTTTAACCTGACCTAGTCGCAGCATAAGGTTAAAGTTTTGCCTTGACGCACAAAGTAATCCTTTTAGGGGGTAGCTACTCCTGGCAGCAACTGGTTTGATAAGTTTCAAGCTCGTGTGTTCAATCTCAAATTGAGTTGCTGGGCCAGTTCTCTTTATTGAAGGCGAGAGAAATGTTTTTAAATATGCAGATGTTGCTGCTGTTGCTGCGGTGTTGTGCTTGTGCTTCAGCATTTTTCCTGCGCTCCAGTTCTCAGGAAACTTGGGCGCTGCGCACGGGGCAAAAGTCTTACAGCCGCTCTTGCAGTCTTCCACCAAGTCTTTGAAATCACCTGGCGACGTGCTGGGCAATCCACGGGTGGAAAAGCCTTCGGTTCCAGCCTCTTCCTGCAGATCTGCCAGTGAGCGGGAGCTGCGGAGCAAGCCACCAAGCGGGCTGAGCAGACTTGGCACCAGAAAAGTTTGCTTGTGAAGGTGCAGCTGGCACCAAGGACATCTAAATCTATAAGTGGGGAAATATTGAGCTTTTGTACCGAATCCTACTAGGAACAAAAAGCTACTAGGGGCTCCTGGCCTTACTACTAGGAGCAAGGACGCTACGACGGGGCTCCTGGCACCGCTACTAGGAGCAAACCGAGTTGTTGGATGTTTTTTGGTAAGGAATCATCAAAACGCCTACAAAGGAGACCCATGTCGTCGAAAGGCAGCCCATGTCGTCGATCTCAGCCACTCACTGGTTGGACCACGGTGCCCAGGCGACGGTGGCACTTTTGGTTTGTTTTTCTGCAGTGCTTTTTGCTGTTTCCTTCGCCACTGGGGAGACCGTTTGAGCGATATTACCATTTGCCTGATATTCACTGGATTTTTTGCACGGTTTTTTTCTCTTCACTTTTCAGTGGCGGCGTCAACTCATGGTTAGCTGCAGAGTTTCTTCGGGCGGGGGGGCGCAATTTGCAACATCATCATTGTAAACGGTTGACGTATACAACAACAGTTCGCCCACGCTAGTGCAACAGTTGGTTGTTGCAAGACCTTGAGAATAATAATCCATCTCATGTCGGTGTTGACAATGAAACTGTATATTCCAAGGATTTCTTTTGTGTTGCGTGCAATTGTTTTGCTGAGACTGCTGAAGGGAAGACGAAGCACGTTGGTTTTCACCGCTTTACGCAACTGCTTTGCAACGCAACTGACTTGCTACGTCTTGCGATGAATAAAGACTTTGAGCTTTGCACATCGGCCTCCCATATCCGTCTATATAAGCATTAAAAAATGAAGTAGTTTGGGGAGGTCCTGTGAAATGATGTGACATGCGCTCTTCGTTGCAGCGAAACACGCGTTTCAGGTTGCGGTCTCAACATTAAAATATTTCCAGGTACGTGAGAAACACTGTCAGGCTAAAGGTTTACGACGCCTTGAAGTTGCCAAAATCATGAGAAAACCTCGCCGTCTATACTAGTTTGCAATACGGGAAGGTGAAGTGTGGTAGGCTGGCAACAGTGACAGAGGAACATTTGTATACACAAAGGTATGAACAATATATAGATAATGATTGTTCCTGTTCCTAGATGTTTGAATGCCCTGCCGCCTCCTCTCCTGGATCATTGCACGCTGATGTTTGGGCTCAATGTATATTTATATATATAATATTAAGAAATCTTCCGGGATTCCGGGTAATGTATGAATCAACCATGAATCTGTCTTAACGTATTAATTGAGTCATGATGGTGAAGCAACTCTTGATGGTCTCATGTGATGACCTCAATTCATTGCTATGTTACATAGAAGTCCCCTTGAGGCAACAGGCTTGTGATTTCATCCATCTGTGAATGTCGTGCTGAGCAGATCGGGCCTATCGGGCCGAAGTCGTCCGACGAAAGTGGCATGACAAGTGACACCCCACCGGCTACCAACACATTTCGGACCCCAGCCCTACCGCATAGGGAATGCGTGCATGGGGTGAGTGCCGCCGGACTGCATTCAGATCATTCAGAGACATGAATTTCGTGCCTTGTGCCTGGTATAGAAGAAGGTCACGTGGGCCACGAACTATGACACAGACTCAATCATGAAACACGATTCACGTTTAGCATCCTGAGGTGATCATGATGGCAGAGAGGTGCGCCCAGGCCAGCAGACCGCTGTTCAGTGTTGGAGCGTTTTGTTGGTGACACCAGCTTATGATCTGCAGGAATCGACTGTTTGCATATTTATTTATATATATATATATACACATGTTGTACTTGTAAGTTGTAGCTATGAACTTGGGCTGCCCTCTCGACCCTTTGTGTCAAGTTGCCACGTTTGACCTGCTTCTATAATCTTAAGAGATATGTTATTAGTTTGGCCATAGTGAGCCCAATTGCTAGACCAGCTCGTTTGCAATGTCCCCTCGAGTTGCAGCTAAGGCCGTCCCAAAGTATATAGCTATCATGGATAGGCAGAGCATTGCCTAGCGAACTTCTTTACCCAGATGAGTTTCAGTTGTACTAATGCCAGTGCGTTCGTACAGCCATCAGTTTCGTTTCCAGGCCAGCTAGCCTTGCTTGAAGAAGCTTAAATTTGCTCCCAATGATATCTCGATCTAATCTAGAACTGTTAGGCTTTCATGCAACAACCTTTCAGTTTGTTTTGGAGGTGCATGTGACAGGCAAGCCCTCGTGGCCCGTTCTTGGTAGCAAGGTTCCTTCCTGGGGTCCTAGATTCCAGGGTCATAAATTCTCAACATGGCCTGCCAGGCAATGTTATATAGCTAGAACTGGATTGGACACCTTATTCTTCTAGGGGCACCACTAATGGCCTTGCTAGCCATACAGGTTTGGGAGACTTGGGAATTGTTGCGCCAGTCAAGAAGAAGGCTGTCTCCAAGGCTTCGGCAGCATCCTTTCAGGCGACCCGTACTTTGTGGAATGTGATATTGTTGGGATCATAGTGGCGCGGGCTGTCTGTGGGGTAGTGGCGAGTGATTTTTCAAGTTGGATAGCTAGTAAGGCTAGTGAGGTAAGGCAAGTAGCCCGGGAGGTCTACTGTAATGACTGCATGCAAGAACGACCGCAGAAGAGCATCTTTGCATGACTAGCATGACTCCTTCGATGTTGAGGGCAATGAAAGAAGCTCGGCACGCGTTGAAAGAAGGGCACTCCCCGCTCAAACTGGTGGAGCAAGGGGCAAGAGTCTAGTGAGTCGAGTCTAGTGTTGCCTTCCAATTGCAAGGGTATCAAAGTGATTTTGTGCTTGGCGCGTTTCATCATTTGTAATCATTTGTCGATTTGGTCGTTGATTTTAGTTTTAGCAATTGTTTGTTGACTTGCATTCTCGCTGGCCGCTGGCTCTCATTGTTTGTAGAAGCCCGCAGGGGTTGCCGTGAGATGACGTCATGGCTTGCCCTGTCAGGATGCAGCAAATGTGTTTATTGTTGGAGACTCTTGGTCTCCCCATGTTTTGATGACCCAGAGCTTGAGCAGCTTGGAGGACAAATCCATTTTCGCACATGCGAGTCCCGTGCACGCCGAAGGTTTGCTTTGGAGCTTGGTCAGTTTCAATCCGCCAGAGGGAATGTACTTGGTCGATTCAACGTGGGACCCACTGATTCGCAGCGAGCCATTGATTTTTGCCTCGGTTTCCCCCATGAATCAAATCTTCACGAGCCAGGCCACCTCAGGTTCAACCCAGAACGGCTTCTGGAAAGCGTGGCCGTTCTGAACGGTCCAGATTTGGAGTCCAGATAGTTTCAAGCTTTATTTACGAAGACACTCCTCTCACCTGGCCTTGTGCAACTCCTAGACGGTCCTACACTCCTTTTTGCTGCAGAGGGGTGCGGCTTTGACCAGCTGCACCATTCCGACCATGGCCCCCTAGAATCAGAGGGACACCACGGCACCATGAGTACCCCGAGATGGAAACCCATCATGAGTGACCCAATCCAAGATCAGATGCAAACGGAAGGGTTGTGCACAGAAAGAGTTTTGCAAAAACCCATTCTACTAACATCGTGGAAAGCGTGGGACATTCGTGGAACCCGGCGCTATTCGTGGACATTTCGTGGAAAGGTGGGCCAGTAGGAAAACTGATTGAAACAAAATCCGAGAAACCTTCGCAGATCTTCGTGAAACCTTCGCAGATCTTCGTGGAAGGTTTTTTTGGAAGGGGTGAGAGATAAAAAAAATATTTAACGTATCAATAAAGAATATTCTACACGCATCAATAAAAATAATAAATACTGACTCAAAACATATTCCAAATTGCAGTAGCAGTAAGAGTAGCAACAGTACAATAATAGCAGCAGTATCGTAGTGGTAGTCATAGTGTTTCGTGGCAGGTGCAGTACTTTGTGGACCTTGCCATGCACATTTCGTGGCAGGTGCAGGACTTTGTGGGTGGTGAAGTGCAGAGTTGGTGGCCAGTGGCAGGCGCAGGACTTGATGGGCCTTGGAGTGCAGATTTCGTGGCAGGCGCAGGACTTTTTGTGGACCTTGAAGTGCAGATTTCGTGGCAGGTGTAGTACTTTGTGGCCCTTGGAGTGCAGATTTCGTGGCAGGCGCAGGACTTTGTGGACCTTGAAGTGCAGATTTCGTGGCAGGTGCAGGACTTTGTGGATGTGGAAGTGCAGAGTTGGTGGCAGGTGCAGGACATTGTGGGCCTTGGAGTGCAGATTTCGTGCCAGGCGCAGGAGTTTTTGATGTGGAAGTGTAGAGTTGGTGGCAGGTGCAGGACTTTGTGGGCCTTGGAGTGCAGATTTGGTCGCAGGCGCAAGACTTTGTGGACCTTGAAGTGCAGATTTCGTGGCAGGTGCAGTACTTTGTGGATGTTGAGCTGCAGATAGACAGATAGAAAGATAAATGGATCGATAGATAGATAGATAGAGGGGGCATAGTTGCTTGGTTAGAAAATTTTGCACCGGGGAGTTCACCTTAAAATATTGATTTCGTGGCAGGCGCGGGGGGGGGGGGGGGGGGGGGGCGCCCCCCCCCCCCCCCAGCAGCACACCAGATCCAAAGGTGAGCAGCTCGAACAAGAGGAAAAGCAAATGCAAAAAGAAAAAGGAGAACAGCTGCCAAAAAGAAAGCAAGAAAGAAAGAAAGAAAGATAGATATAGACGTAGATATAGACAGATCGAAAGCCAAAGGCCACAAAAGCCAGAAGCCACAGAAGCCAGAAGCCACGAAAAACAAACAAAACACAATTAAGTGGCCCTTCATATCGAATCCACGAAGGACCAGAGGACCAAGGGACTAGCGGACCAGTGGACCAGCGGACTGTAGGGGACCAGCGGACCAGGGGACCAGCAGAGCAGGGGACCAGCGGACCAGAGGACCAGCGGACCAGAGGACCGGCCACCTACACGACTGGGAATTCCAAGGGATTTCATCGCACAACGAATATGGTTTTGATTCAGTAAATATTTTGTTGACTCGGTAAATTTTTTGTTGATTCGATAAATAGTTTTTTTGATACCTATGCCCTTTTGATGCACTAATTTCGTTTAAGTAGTATATAATAGGCAATTTTTGGCTAACCCCCTTACACCTTCCATTTAGCCTTCACACGAGCCTCTTGGCTCTTGAGAATTTAACACAACTTTAGAAGTATCTTACATGCAGTATTTTTGTGCTCCTGCAAACGCTAATTTCCCCACTTACCTGTGTGTCCTTTTGTGGGTTAGAGATGTGTACGAAATTGCACTTGTGCAGGAACAACGCGCGCATGCTTGACATGTTCCGTGTTCCTGTTTTCGCCTGTCGCCGGGTGCGCAGACCTAGTCCAAAAGTTTGCATGCGCAGCGCCTAGGAAGGCCTACTCTTCCAGCCAAGCTGAAAGAATAGCTGCTTGCGGCCTTTGGTCCGAACCTTACCCTGAAGTTCACAGAGCGGGCAGCAACGTAGGACGACAATTCATAGATCGCTGCAGGTGCTCGCTATTTGTAACAATTGCTTTGGCCTGTCACAGCCTGTTGGATGTCACCGACGTGGAGGAGGATAACACGGTCGTTAGCTTGGCCTTTCTTC